AGGTAAGCACACAAGATACTGTTATGGTGAAGTACAGTCGACTGACATTTCACTAGCAACTTGCCCTATTAAGGTGGATTCCAGTGGGAAGTCGTTACCAGTAGGGTCTAGCAGGTCGGGTGTGAGGACAAATACTCGCCAAGGGAAACATTGGCTAGCGGTTGCTCTATATCGTGAATTGGCAGAAGTTAGAATTCATGGGCTGGCTATTGGATCGGGTCCCAGTGGCTCAATGCTCTACAAGCTCACTAGCCTTGTAATCAGAAGGTCGTGGGTTCGAACTCTGGTAGGTGCGTACTCCTGAAGAGCCCCAAACTAGGCCGAAACAACCATCCAGTACTCCCAGGTCTTCCAGTGGTTCTCTAACTAATGTCAGCTCATGATGAAATCCTGTAACTTCTAAATTACCTTCATATGAAACCAAGTCTTCCATATTCTCTGAAAATATGCTTAGAAGTTATTCTAATTCTGTATTATCACAAAATATATGACAACTTAAACGTGGACACTATTGTAGCATTTAATATTAGGTATTAATTTGTTTGTCGAGCATATCACACACACGCACGCACAGTGAAACAGTATTATCATTTACTTGATGATGAAGTTTCCAAGACAGTTTATTATTGTTCATAATCATACCAATCAATCATGACAGTTAATATGACTGTGATTGCATTATATAGGTCAATCTTCAGGTCACTGATGGCTGACTGAATGGATATCCTGAAGCGATAATGAGAACTCGTGGCCAGTGTGATCTACCTACCGTGTCACGGTGAAGTGGATGTTGATTAATGGCAACTCGAACTGCTGCACACTTGTGCAAAGTTCTATTTATTTTTATTTATTTATTTTTTTTTTGATTACAGCTTGATTCCACACCGTATTTTTGGTACAAGTGTGGAATTTTCAGCGTGGATATCGGTAGCCCAAAATTCGCAGGCCGACCATAGATTATCAGATGTGCGTCGGTGTGGGCTCGAACCCTGGACCATGTGCATGGTCGGCGAGAGTCCTAACCACTGTGCCACCGACCCTTTGAAACCAGTCAGTCATTAATGGGATTGTTTGGTGGTAGCACTATACTTCACGAAATGATGAAGTTAAGATTCATAGGTCATCGAATTTCGGGTTTAAATGGTTGAACGGTCAACGGGATTTAACCTTATAACCCGAAGGCCTTGATTACGATCCCTAGTGGGATCATGAATGTACAGCACTGAAGAGTCCGAGATTGGGACGAAACGGCTGTCCAGTGCTTCTCGGTTTCCAGTGATTTTCTGATTGATATTGGTTCGTAGTGAAACCTACACTTAGAAAACAGACTGTGTTCGAAACGTAATCACGTCAATAATATTTTGTATCACTGTGTGTTATATGTGTCCAACAAATAAATTAATATTGAATTAAAACTAATATACTTCTAGTATAAATGTTTTAAGTGTTTAAAAATGATATCATATTTATTACATTTGACTATTTGCAAAATAATACTGTGATTAGAGTTTGACCTTCTCTGAGTTCTGATATTTAGTCGTGAACTTTGTATCCGATCTATAACGTTCACTTCACTATTCGTTCTATTTAGAGTTGATGATGTTACCGAGTTTTTTTAGTGGGAAGTCTGTGATCGAATAATAAAAGAGAGAAAATATTATGAACAACCTTCTTCCTTTTCCCGAACTATCATGAGTAAACTGAGCGATTCAGTGAAATGGCAACAACCAGTGGTGTCCATCAGAGATACCCATTATTTATGGATGATCCCCATCCAGGCATAAATGAAAACAAAACACGTAGTTCCACGAAGAGTCTCTTTTCGCCGATGAATTCATTTTCTTAGCTGTACAATCGGAAATATATGTGTGAGTTATTTTGTATGTATGTGTACATTAAGTTTGTCGAACAAATATACAATTGGTTATGGTTAGTTTAACTAAACAGGTGAAGATTGGTAATTGGAGTTACGTAGTACAAAATCAGCCAAGAAAACTAGGTGTTAATGAGACTAGGGTAGTAAAAAAGGTGATGGGTTGTCACAAACAGTTGTTAAAAGGGAGTTATGCAATAATATGAATAGTTTGATGATTGAGTTCTACCTCAGGATACACATAGGAACAAAGAAGAGAATACGAAATTACGTGAGAGTTCTAAATGAATACAAGAATTATAAGCAATAATAAAGAACAGACAGACAAACAAAATTAAGTCATCAAAAACCAACAAAGTTGGTACCATGACAGTAGAAGTGGTTGAGTAATTCTCTATTGTATGTACAGCTCCAGTTTTTCTATGTGAGTGGCCATTGCTTCAGCAATACAAAGAAGATGAAACCGCATTGCCTTTGGCAGGTTATTCTTGACTCTGTAGATTACTTTGGAGCAGGAGGCATTTGTTAAGATGCAATGATCAGTGTTAACTACGTGTTCAATTATCACTGAAACTATGGCAATTCACATAGAAAAACTGGAGCTGTACATACAATAGAGAATTACTCAACCACTTCTACTGTCATGGTACCAACTTTGTTGGTTTTTGATGACTTAATTTTGTTTGTCTGTCTGTTCTTTATTATTGCTTATAATTCTTGTATTCATTTAGAACTCTCACGTAATTTCGTATTCTCTTCTTTGTTCCTATGTGTATCCTGAGGTAGAACTCAATCATCAAACTATTCATATTATTGCATAACTCCCTTTTAACAACTGTTTGTGACAACCCATCACCTTTTTTACTACCCTAGTCTCATTAACACCTAGTTTTCTTGGCTGATTTTGTACTACGTAACTCCAATTACCAATCTTCACCTGTTTAGTTAAAATAACCATAACCAATTGCATATTTGTTCGACAAACTTAATGTACACATACATACAAAATAACTCACACATATATTTGCGATTGTACAGCTAAGAAAATGAATTCTTCGAAAAGAGACTCTTCGTTGAACTACGTGTTTTGTTTTCATTGATACCCATTATCCCCGATTATTTAATTTCATCATAGATATATTAGTGCAACCTTCTTAACATCTTGAGCAGCAGTCCCCGAATGTGTTGTTGGCATGCGAATTGCTGCAGGACTGCAATTCACTGACACCCAGTTTAACGATAAGGAGTAAGGTGGTTGAGTGTTTTGGTCACTTCACGTAGCTGGAAAGTTGTATCAGCCAACGCCAGCGGGTTGATTGCTGACGAAATCTCAGCATAGTATTTTCCGGCTCACGTCATCTATGCCGCCGACGTGATATCCGGCTGGCTATCTATGAGAGGATGGGTATATTTCACAGCAGTCCCCTCTGTCCTCCTTTATGGCTGTAACAAGTCGTCATTAGAAGTGGAAGATATGAAAAGGCTAGCTACCTGTCTTTCACTATAGATGCCTTCGTTCTGTCTCCCGTGTTAAGTGATATCATAGGGTGAGCAGTGTTGGAGTTAGGTTCAGAGTGCTAGGTAAAGAAGAGAAGCCAGTCGATGGGGTTATGCAGCCGCATCTATTGAAGATTCTAGAACTCGTCCCCAAACCACTGCCTTTCACGCCGAACAATGTTAGCTGATATATCCAATAGCTTAAAAAAGAGTTAGGAGCTGTCAAAAAAAGCATAACCTGGAATCAGTTTATGAGTTCTTTGACTGTTGGTTTGAACCACGTAAGGAAGTGCAGACAATCTGCTTGGCACCATCACGATTTTAAGCACCAGTCGCTTAAGAGTGTTTATAATATGACAGAAAATCGTTCTCAGTAGCCCAGATTCATATCATCCTCATAGTTTTCCATGTAACTATTATTTCTCCCGTACGTTTCAGCTCATTATGGTTCGTTTAAATGTTTATGTTTCTGTACATGAATTTGTCGAGATATCTGTAAATCATTGTAATTCTTGACTCATTCACCGCTCTGATTCTCTTTGGTTTTAGGTGACTCTAGGAACTTTCAGTGGAATTTATGTGAGTCCCATCGAAAGGATTAACGAAATCGTCAGTAGTATGACTATAGTCCAGGGACGATACTTGGCTACACATTTTCTCCCTTCCAATGACCTTGTGGTCTAATCAGTACTTAAATAACTAGATTTAAATAAAAATTTAGCGCGTAATTCACATACATCATCCATAATTCCTCCTACATACTACGGACTTATTTGACTAGTTACTCAAGGTCATTAATGCGTTCATTAGGTAGGTGGTTTCGTTTTGGGCTGCTATAGTTTGGAGTTACCGAAATCTATCGTATCTTAGTTCTTTATTCAACGACAAGGTTGTCCTTCAACTGCTTAATATTTTCAAGTGTTGGTTTTTAGGGATTTGATGGATTGGTTCCAGGCTTTCATCGTAAGCTGACGTGGATTAGAGAACCACTGGATAACCACTAGCCAGGGAGTACTGGACAGCTGTTTCGTCAGCCTAGTCTACGACTCCTCATCAGTACACATCCACCACCACGGTTCAAACCCAGGACCTTCTGGTTACAAGGTCAGCGAGCCCGTAGACCATTAAGCCACTGGGGCCCGATTCAATGGCCAGCCCATGAATTCCAACTTCTGCCAATCCACTAGTGGTCGCTAGTGATTGGCCCTATTCAGGTTGGTAGTTACCCCTTGATGGTCGCGTCATATCATGAATTGACAGAAGTTGGAATTCATGGTCTAACCATTGAATCGGATTCCAGTAGTGGCTTAATGGTCTAAGAGCTCGCTGGGCTTGTAACCAGGAGATCCTGGGTTCGAACCCTAGTGATGGGTGCGTACTAATGAAGAGGAGTCCCAAACTAGAACGAGGTATCTTTCCAGTCCTCTAATCGATGACAGTTCATGATGAAATGCTTAATGAATGTTTTTCTTAGTAAACCAATTCTAACTTTAATAATAATAATAATAATCACTTTATTCCACAACAATAACAATTTACAGCATGGAATTTTCAGCGTTTCTTTTACATATTGCAATGGTTTAGCTCTGTTTATAATTATATAAATATATAAAATGTTAAAATATTGATAGTTAATAGGAAAAAATAATAAAAAAATAAATAAAAATAAAAAACCCAACAAAATCATACCATTTCTAGGTCATAGTGAATAATAAATAAATAATATAACAAATAACACATGCATTAATATGCATCATTTCATTTTATAGTTTAGTTATTGATTCAAAAGTTGTAAAAGTTCTTTTCTGATATTTGTCTCTTCACACAATACTCGTGCCAAATATGGAACGGTCGAATTTTTATATTTTGTAGTACGAGCATAAATGTTTATAAAATTTCTTCTGGTCTTACCCGAAGAGATACAAGGAAACAATTGTGAATAAAGAGGATGTTCACTATCAGATAAGATAACTTTAGCTAAGTGTTTACAAGAATTCATATGCCTATTGACAACAGTGTCATTTAGTTCAGTCAAAGGGATAGCACTGACCCTACTTACAGCCCTCAATGTTCTTCGTAGTATTATATGATCTTTCTTGAGTAGCCCAGGGAAGAATAATGGAGAACAATAAAGAATGATGGGCAAAACACATGAATTAATAAATTGTATGATAAGAGATTGAGTTATACCTGAGTGTCTCAACTTCTTTATGTAATAAGTCAGACGGAAAACTTTCTTAGAAACTATAAGAATATGAGACGACCAGCAAAGATTTGACGAGAAACTAATGCCAAGATAAGAAACACTTGACTTACTCTCTATCATGGTACCATCAATATTACAACAATCATGAGATTGAATCAATCCATGCATGTCTTTTTCACTTCTCAAGCTGAAATCAACAGTGTTACATTTAGTTGGATTTAGTTTAAGACCATTTGAGCCAGACCAATCCTTAACTTCAGCTAGGAAGCCATTCATATAGGAACAATCCGATGTGGCAACTACAGGGACAGAAACGGTCAGGTCATCAGCATACTTAATGAAGTTAACTTTGGGTGAGTTCGGAAGGTCATGCAGAAAGAAAGAGAAAAGAAATGGAGAAAGTACTGCACCTTGAGGCACACCACTTTCAGTTAGCTGGGAAGTGGAGCGCTTTCCAGCCAAAACAGTATGCTGTTTCCTATCCTTAAAATAAGAAGACAGCCATCTAGTTGCCCAGGACTCTGTTTGTGCTGAATTCATCTTGCCTAATAAAAGTGTCCTAGGAACAGAGTCGAAAGCTGCAGTATAGTCTAAGGAAGCTGTTCGAACGAACTTAGCGCCCTTATCAAGGCAGGAAACAATATTGTGGTGTAGTACAATGGCTGCATCTAATGTACTTCTTCCACACTTATAAGCAAACTGCTTAGGGTCACTAAAAGCTTTTAAAGAAGGTTTAAGAATATTCAAAAGAAGTTTCTCCATAGTTTTCAAAAAAGGAGATGTTATAGCGACTGGTCTAAACTTTATACCTGCTCCAGAAGATGATTTCTGTACAGGTACAACCTTGATTTCTTTCCAGTCAGCAGGTACCGTTTCCCTCTTAAATGATGCGTTAAAGATAGGTGTGTTTATTTTTCACAATACTGCCTAATACACAGATATATCATAGAATGACTTATCCTGTCAAATGTCAGTGTAAAATATCTTAGATACATAGGTGACTATAGTTATTTTATTTTCTAAAGGTTGCCTAGTATAACATGTGCGTTTTGTTATGTCTGTCTGTCTGTCTATCTATCTATCTATCCATCTGTCTATATAACTTATTCTTTTGGACGGAAGTAATAGGCGCATTAGTCATTCAGATGCGAGACACAATGACCTTGATATCGAATTTGGTGTATGTGTGTGTGTGCGTACGTTTCATTTATCAATCAATATTGCTTATTCACACTGTTCCAAGATGTTTCAATCAATATTATTATAATTATTATTAACTGCATTTTTAGCATATTTTTTTGTAAAAATTCATATCACTTTTATACCTAAAGACAGGAAGTTTAATTAGGTTACTGTGCTGTAGTGTAACTAACGTTAATTATAACTATAACATTTCGAAACATTCACATAAATAATTAAATAAATAGGTCATGAAATATGCATGTATGAATGTAAGCAATTGAAATATAATTATAGTCATTTATTTGATCTAATCCACAATGCTCAAACTTTAATCTTTTTACTGACATTAAACCAAGGTAAATTATTCATTATCAATGAAAGTTCTTTTTGTATTTCCCAATGAATGAATGAATGAAAAAGACAAAACGATATTCAGCCTGCACCAAAAAAAGGACTAGACACATCACACTGGTTGGTAACTAGCGTCCAACCAAAGTATACTAAATGCTCCCATAGTAAAATTTAGAACAACTCATTTAAGCCAACAATATTGTTTTCAATTAGATCTCATCAGGCTTAACTCTAATATATATAAGTTCACGTATAAAAATTCAAATATAAACCAATCATGGTGTTTTGTCTATAGGATAATAATAAGATGGTGAATATAAATTGTGCAATTAGTCATTATTGCAGCAATGGTAATAGTAATAATAATAATAATGGTCTTATCATTAATAAAGTTGAAAAAGTGAAGCAATCTGTGATAACACGAATAATGAAAAAACAGCATGATTAAACAAACAATTGTTCAGGTAAGCGAAGTAGTCAGCATAGGCTAATAAAAACAAATGAACCGATTAAGTAATGCTAAACTGTAAGAGAAGTAAATAAAACACATTTTTAATGAAGATGTAGATATGCTGATAGGTCGATGATACATCATCTATCTTAGCTGATGGGAATATTAACATGAACGAATTGTTGCTGAAATTCAACAACGTCCACCCTTCGCTTACCTTTACTTGTGAAGAGGAGCAAGAGAATAAACTGCATTTTCTGGATGTCTTTCTAAGTAGGCGAGAAGATGGGTCACTTGTGAGAAGCATGTATAGAAAAAGCACATTCACAGGGCAATACACACACTTCCCTCCTTAGTTACGCGCCCACTAAATATAAGAAGGAATGTTGTTAAAGGTCTTATGATAAGAGCAAGAAAGATATGTACGAATGACCTCTTACAAAAGGAATTTGAATATATTCACGATTCCTTGATGGAGATGTGCTATCCGAGTAGTTTCATAAGGAAACATATGAAAACACCAGAGAAAAAACCTGAGACTATAACTTCACGTAAGAAACCTCTATTTATTAAGTTAAAATTTAATGGTGACTTATCTAGTGAGACTTTGTTCCAGAGACTATCAAGGAGTATACGGAAAACGTTTTACGGAGCATACCTATGTTTATCATTCTCTAGCCGATGAATGATTAGGACGCAAACGAAGGATAGATAGCTAGATAGTTTCGCCACATCTGTGTGTATTTATCAATTCAACTGCACCTGCGGTGACAGTTATGTTGGGCACACCACTACTAGACAGCTTAGCCAGCCAACGTGTTAGTGAACATCTCCCATCGTGGTTTGGCAAGGGAGAGACGAAAACAATTCGTAGCTCAATTTTATCACATTTAATTGATAGTGGTCATGTAGTGGAGAAAACGAAAGCTTTCAAAGTAATTCATCGTTTCCCGCCGAATCTTTCAAATAGACTTCGTATTCGTCTACTGCACGTACACAGCTGAGGCGATAGGCATTCGAACTATTAAACCTAAATTATGCATTCAAAAGAAGTTCGTACAGCTATTATCCCTGCCTTGGCCTATTAAGACATAACCAACTAATGACTTCTACACCACCCCTTGTTTGTATTTCCAACCCTTCTCTTATCATCCCTTAATTTTATCACATCTTCATTATTAACATGTTTCATTTCCTTCCCTGATGGAACCATTGTTATTATTATTATTATTATGACTAGTGCACAGTTTATATGCACAATCTTATTATCCTATAGACAAATCACCGTGATTGGTTTATATATATGAATATTTATTTGTAAAGTTGTCTGTATATTAGAGGTAAGCCTGATGATAAGATTTAATTGAAAGCACAATACTGTTCGCTTAAATGTGTTGTTCTAAATTTTACTATGGGGATATTCAATATTTCAATATTGTCGAAACCAATGTTGTAATGTCATTCTCTAGCGTGTGGCTGACGGATGATTTTTCAAGTTTTTCTAGTTCAACTGGATTTCTCGGTGGTCGAACATTCAAGTTCAAATTTTTAAGTTTTGTCGAAAATTTTTTCATTATTTTTAATACTACTTTCGTCACGAATGCCGTTCATTTAATTAGAATCATTGAAAATCACGAAATAGTGCACAGCTGCTTCATACTAGTTTGAGATTAATTAGTGAGAATTCGTCACCAACAACAGCATCCACCAAGTTGGATTTCAGGAAAGATACTCGCCGATGACACTGGCTGACGAATTGATAAAAGTCAGGATTCGCCAGTCACTGGGTTACGCCTCAGTAGCTGTAAGGTCAGTAAGCTCTCCACCTAACCCTGAAGGTCCTGGCTTCCATCTCTCGTAAATTCATGGGTGCGAACTGCTGAAAAGTCTCAAACTAAAAAGAAACAACTATACAAAACTCTTCAGCAGTAGGCATCCATGATAAAAATAATAATAACTTTATTTTCAAAAATCTTTTATTCTAGTTGCACACTAGTTACTAACTAGTGTGATGTGTCTAGTCCTTTATTTGGTGCAGACTGAATTCTGTCAGTTAGGTGTGCAATATGGCCACCATTCTGGGTAGCTCGCCATCATGGTGCGCATTGATTTGATGATATTAGATAGTTGGAGACAATCGACCACAAGAAGCCCTACCTGACCTAGGTTTCGTGCTGGTTGGCACTCACTAGTCAGTCGGTAAGACGTATCTGCAACCTTGAAAGAACAACTTCTGTCCCTTCTTAGATTGGATTCCGTGTCACCACCAAGTGGTGCAGTCAGAGACGTTGCCAACACTGCGCTATTCGGACTCATGTGATTGACCTCCTGTATGGGACTGTATTGGATACTGTGGTTGAATACTAGTTAGTAACTAGTGTGACCACCTGGGCCATTAAATCGGTTCCTAGTGGCTGAATGGCATACGAGCTAGCTTGCCTTGTAACCGGAAGGTCCTGGTTTCGACCCGCCCCCCCTTAGCGGGTGGGTGCGCGCTGTCGATGAGTCCCGAACTGGGAAGAAACAGCTGTCTGGCAGTACTCTCTGGTAGCTTTCAATGGTTCTCTCTCTCTGTGATATCAATCTGTGGTCAAACTCGTAAAGCAGATCTTTAAATAATCAAAAGAGAAAAATTCAACTTTCATAAAGGTATACCCAGAGATTCATTTAAGGAATTCGAAATTACATCAATCCTCCATCAAGAAAATTGACATCAATTCAGTTAAATGATTTTGTATGTTGTAACAAGTGAGATGGAAATAAACAACTACAAAGAAAATATTGACACAATCTCATGCTTAGGCACTTAAACAAAACAAATCACTGAATATTAATTACCGTTAGCCTATTATTATTATTATTATTATTCATTACACTTCATTCATTCTTAAATACATCAGTGTGTACACAAAATCATACGTCTGTGTGAAACAGCAGAAAGCAAGAAACGGAAGCCAAGGTTTTTTTTAAGTGATCAAACCGCTATTTATGTATATCTATACTGTTTTATATACTTTAATCAATCACTGAGCCAGCGTATGATTTTGGTTTACATTAAACGACATGAAATAGAATGTTCAGCTTTATATATGTACAGTATGCGGTATTCAACTTTGGGGACAGTATTCAGATGTTAACACCAACACAAATATATAATGATTCTTACTGTGAGAATAATATTCCGTTGGAACTCAATGTGCGTATCACACCACCACAAATGGTTCTATGTGCTAGAATACTTGCTAGCTATAACGGAGGCCTTGGTGTGACTACCAGCCGACATATACTCCTAGAAAAAACTTGCCTAAGAGAGGGAGGTTGGGCGCGTAGGGCTAGTAACTCCCATTCCTCTCCTCACTCACCCTGGTAAAAAGCGACACCACCTCATGTTTCATTTAGGAGGTAAGGAAAGAAAAAACAAAATTATCATTATATATATATGTATATTGGAAGACCAACTCGCCGCTTCCTGTTCGGCTTCCACTCGAGAGCCTGCTGTGTGATGTCACTTGATGGTTTCCTCAGAATATGGCCAATCCACCTCCATTTCTTCCTGCATATTTGTTGCACAATCGGTTCCTGATGGGTTGGTTCGCTCCCAGAGATCCCTCCCTGTTACTGATCCTTTCTGGTCGGCCATCTGATCTTGAGTAGTATTGAGTGACGACTGCTGTTGATGGAGGTGTGTAGAGTGTTCGAAGTGCCCTTATTGACGTGCTGGCCAAGTCTCTCATCCGTATAGTAAGTAGTACTGACTTCACATTGGAGTTGAAAATCCAAATCTTATTTCTTATGCTGAATGCTATTGACCTCCACACAAACTTGAGATAAAAATGAAAGCTTGCCTTGCTTTCCCAATCCTCGCTTTGATGTCCCCATCAGTCCCGTCCGTCTATAGTTGAAACGATGCTTCATAGGTAGGTGGGTAGGTGAAGGAGGTTGCTTCTTTCAGATTTCTCCCATTTATGCTGATTGTTGTCTGTTGTTGTTTCTGTTGGTGTTGACCAGGAATCTTCATCACCACATCTGTTTTCTCTATGGTCACCTGAAGTCCTATCTTTGATGCTTCTTCTTCGGCCAACTTGTTGCTTTTCACTTGCATATCCTCCAGTTTGCGGGAAATCAGACATATATCATCATTTGCGAAGTCCAGATCCTCCAGGTGTTTTGTGTGGATCCATTTTATGCGTGTCTCCTCGTTGCCCGCTGTCTGTCCCATTACCCAGTCTACCGCAATCAGGGAAATCATTGGTGATAGTAGGCAGCCTTGTCTTACTCCCGTCTTCGGTTCGGAGGAATCCGTGAGCTTCCCGTTGTGGATTAATTGGCATGCAGCATTGCCGTACAACTGTTGGGTAAGATGAATAATTGTTGGCGGCACCCCGTAGTAGTGAAGTAGTTTCCAAATCACCTTCAATCGACTCTGTCTGCTGAAGGCCTATTCAAAGTCAATGAAGTTGGTGTAGAGAGCTGACTACCATTTCAAGCTATTATTATTATTATTATTATTATTATTATTATTATTCAGTGATGATACACAGTATTGCGATTTGATCGATGCATGAATTGTTCTTATATATATATATATATATATATATATATATATATATATATATATAGGGTGACCCACTCTTCGCTTTCTATTTGGATTCCACTCGAGTGATGGCCTGCATTGCGCGCGATGTCATTCGACGGTTTCCTCAATGTATGCCTGACCCACTTCCATTTCCTCCTACATGTTTTGTTGAGCAATCGGTTCTCGCCTGTTAGTTTGTTCCCCAAAGTTTGTACCGCTCGGGGTGGCCGAGCGGTTGACGGCGCCAGACTCATGTTCTGGTCCACGATGTGGGTGTAAGTTCGTGTCCCCCCTCCGACAAATGCTTAACTTCGCCTAGTTAACTAGCCTGCTAGTTTTCCAGCCAGTCCCAAGTCCGGGTAAAGAGGGAGGATTGGCTGTGGGGCTAGCAATCCTTCACCACTAAACCTATCAAACTGTTAGAGAAACTTCAACGCACAGAAAAAACATATGTAATTATAAATAGTACAAATTAGTTATAGAGGATGTTGGTGGTAGGATAATAAAAATCAAAAGTTGTTTTACATATTTTGTTCTTATCCTGTACCTAAGCAATATAAATATCCTTCACCTGAAATAACCTAGATGCCTTTTGTTTTCCAGTCCAACATAAGAGATTCATGATAATTGTTGTTTAAGAAAATACTGAAAAGGCAATAAAAAGTTTATTGTTCTTTTTAATTTATTGTTTTCCTCTACCTTTGTGTGTGTGTTGTATATTCCAGTATGTGGCAACTTGAACTGCTGAACTTTTGTGCAAAGTTCCGCTGTGAAACTCACTCACTCATTCAGTTAGTCGGTTAGCAAGTATTTGACAACCAAAACGAAAATGTAGTAAAAGCATTTAGAAGACAAATTTCCCGAGTTGATATCGTCATTTCGTAGTTGTTTTACAACCGTTTTACAACTAACATGGTTAACAATGATAAAATAAAGTTCATGAAAATTACTCAGTTAAATAAAAACAAAAGTACATACTAATGACCAATCATATTTACATTGGTCATGTAGTCCAGGGTAGGCAATGGAAGATTGAAGTCTATTGATTTTTGCACACACAGTTTAGGCTGTATGCGATTAATCCCCTAAGTGCTTCCATCACCTTCAATAATCTTGAATTAGAGTTATGTGGTGAAATAATTGTGAAACAGTCATTGATATAGATTGATTTTGTGACCTGACATTAATAAGTGTTTTGCAGTGGATGATGATGCTGGATTTCTATTCAGATTAATAATTGCATTAGGATTTTCTGTATGTTTTAGTAACCATTTTGGAACATGTTCTTTTCGACGACCACATTGGAACATTCTGTTGGTTCTACCTATATAGTGTGTGTCACCGCAGCTGCAGGTGAAATTGTAGATAAAGTTTGGAGTAGAGTCCACAGTCTTACTTCGATTCCCTCTCCCCTTCTTCTTTCCTTATTCTAGGTAACAGAGATCTTATTTGGTTCAGATTATCAAACCATTCATTTAGGCTTGGTATATCCAATTTCAAAATCTCAAACATGTGGTTTAAATTTAAACCTATTCACTGCATTCCACACCGACAGTGATGAAGGTGATAGTGGTAATCAGAAAGGGGATGCAAATCTTTTCATTTTACGTCAACATATTGAATCCTATCGAGATCATCTACAAACAGACGCCATAGGATCAATTCAATCAACTGAAGCTCTATTAAATTTAACCAATTTATTACGTTGTCTTTCAACAAGTAATGCGTCCATCTCTGCATTGACCAGTGCTACAATGTTAGCTCCTCCAGCTATTGAACCACAATTAATTTATCGTCAAATAAATACATGGAGAGATCGATTAATTGATATATTGATTAGTTGTGGTACAGATACATGTTTAACAATTGTCCTCAATCGATTAACAGCTTTAAGTCAATTCATTTATTCGAATAAAGGCGACGAAGATGGAGAAGGTATCGAAAATTATGACGATCAATCTTTAGAAATCATTAAAAGTAAAGAAATGCTGTACACTAAACTTTGGCCATCTTTATCCCACTTACGCAAGTTGACCAGTGTTCATCAAATGGATCATCTGTATACTCTGTGTGAAAAATCAATACTTATCGATGATAACTACGTGTGTCTAATGACGCTGATTAATCTACTGGAGCATAACACTATCGCCTATGATGTAAGACCAATTATTCAACATATTCAAAAATTACTTGATATCACAGAGTTCAGTGTAAAAAATGATGCATCAATGAAACGTAATAAACTGTTGATAGGTTTAGCTATGAGTAAAAAGTTACGTCATCCAGCCTTGACAAGATCACTGTTTAAAATAATTCTTGATAATTCAGAAAAGCATATCCCAGTGGTTCTACAAACTTTAGCTATCCGAGTGATTGGTGAGATACATTTTTCAAATGAGGCTAAAAATCGATTGAAAAGTTATTCATCCATACCGGACAATGATCATGATCACCCTCACCTGGATCAACACCAACAGCTAACAGAAATACGAACTCGACTTATTGATGTCCTGTATAAACTGCCAAAAGAGTCACAAAATGATTTATTAATTGGTCAAGAGATATTCAAGGTATTATTACTGTCAGAATTACCAGTTGCCAGTCTTGCCCAAATTCTATCTGATATGGCTCAACAGTCAAGATGGTCGCTTATCGGAATATGTCGTCAACTGATTCAACAATGGTGTAAAATGGGCATGTTAAGCATAGATGAATGTCAATGTCTTGGCTGGCGACGGTCAACATCAACCACCTGTCAGCTAGGACTAAGTGGCAGCTGGTCTGGTTTAACTGGGAAAGGTGGCGAAGACACTGGTCAAGCCACACTGTTACACAATGAAATAAGCAATTTGAATAATACCCTGCTTATTGATTATACATCCTATTTTGTCTTGGATCCTAGCGGAGGTTTACAACTCTCTGATCTATCAGTTAGTTTAGTGAGTAAAGATGGTGAAACAGTGATTTTTGACTTTAGTATTCAAGCTGATAAATTGACTACACTTGGTGGTACGTCGTCGAGTAAAGGTAAAGACACCACCACAACTTCATCATCAAATTCTGATGGGGATGCATGGTTGACTGTTGACTTCAGTTACCTAGGTATATCTCTGTTACCTCAAGAAGTATTCTCCGGTGGAGCATTAGATATTGTTAAATTCCTCTGGTCTGCATCATCGAGTCGGCTGACACCACTTTTACAAGTTTTAAAGTTACCAATTGATCAACGAATACAAGTCAGTATCACTTCTGGTTGGATAGTACAAATAGATAATCTGGTCGGAATGGCGTTAAGTATATCAAACTCACTAGAGACAAGTGTATGGCGATTGTCTGGGAAAAGTTTAGCTAGAACACAAATAGGATTAATGAATGAAATGAAAATTAATTTGTTACAATCATATCCCTCACCCTCACAACAACAACATCAAGAACAATCGACAAACTTACAATTACATCATTCACTTATTACCAAAGGATTTGCTTTACAAGGGAATATTGATTTTACTACAGAAATCGATATTAAACATCTCCCTGAGAGTATATGTATGACTATGGATCAAGGTGCGAATGCTTATGTTTTACAATGGTATTTAACTAATTATTCGTCAGTGTCGTCCTCCTCCTCAGCTTCTTCCTACAATACGTCTCCACCGAGTGTAACGCAAGTGAACACTACTCATCATCGTCGTGATTATCATGATAAGGATGTTTATTATATGTTAAATTATACCCTACAACCAGTGACATACTTTTTAGGTAAGGATAATTCAATGAAATGTAGGAAAATGAAAGTTTAATCAAAATCGATATCATCAAAAATGTATAATGTATTATGTGAATGATCTGCTCTGAATTTGTATATTGATTTTTTTTCTTTGTATTCAGATCGTATATGTTCATCATTAGATTGAATACTGAAAGAGTGATTGAGTAATAACGAATTAGTTAAAAATCAATTTTTATATTTTGTACTTTTCTTTTCGTTATTGAATATAAATACATTAGGAATGTTTTATTTTTGGGGTGGTTTTATTTGTTCTTTAATGGGTTCAGTTCAGTGGTGGGATGGGGAGAGAGTGAAATGATCGTTTACGTTAAGTTGAATAATGATAATCGTCACCGATATGTGCAGAGTATATGTTTTGTTGTACTGTAGATAAGTACTTTTTTCAGTAACACATCTCCACAATTGCCAACACAAACTTTCATGAATTCTAACTTCTATCAATTTGTGATTGTAGCGAGACTAGAACCAGCCGACTCTGTCGACCGAGAAGTTCTCTGGAGATGCTTGGCTGTAAAGGAAATCCCGAGAAAATACATTGCACTGATTAAGGCAATCACTCTACTCGAACTCATACAGCCAGGTGAGGGCTTACGGGGAGTTGTCATCTGAACTGGTGACGATTAGCAGTGTCCGTCAAGGATGCCCATTATCCCCTTTTCTATTCAACTTCATCATAGATGTACTAATGGACTTAACCCTAAGTGACTTCAGCGACTTAGAGATTAACTTGCTACCAGGGGATAATCTCGTTGACTTAGAATATGCTGAGGATATAGTCCTTCTAGGCGAAGACGCTGACAAAATGCAGAGTTTTATGAACACCTCGAGCTGCAATCAACGAATGTTTGGCATGCCATTCACTCCAGCCAAATGCAAGATGACGTTACAGCTTTGGACTACACCGACTCCTAGATTAGAAATAGGAAGTGAAGTGGTAGAGCATGTTGATCACTTCACTTATTTGGGAAGTACCATCAACCAGTCCCAACGGGTTGATCTCTGACGAAATCTCAGCACGGATACAGAGGGCTAGTTCCGCATATGCCAGTTTACGCTGTCTCTGGCTTAGTAGACGTGATATCTGGCTGGCTATCGACCAAAGGGTGTGTGGTGTGTACTGCTCACCAGTCCACTCCGTCCTCCTTCATTTCTGGCTGTGAGACCTGGCCACTGAGAGTGGAAGACATGAAGAGATTAGGTGTCTTTGATCATAAGTGCCTGCGTTGTATCTCCCGTGTGAAGTGGCATAATAAGGTGAGCAATATTGAGGTTAGGCCTCGGTCGAGTTCTAGGTAGACAGGAGAAATCACTCGACAAAGTTGTGAAGTTACAAAGACTGAGATGGTTAGGACATGTGTTACGTATGGCTAGTCATCGCCTTCCTCGACCGATAGGCAATGTTAGCGGATATAGGGTGAGGCTGGAAGACAGCTAGCGGCGGTCAAATCAAAACATGGCACCAGTCAATGGAATATACAACAGTTAGTTTAAGTCAGCCACGTAGGAAGGTGTAGACTTCCTGACTGATTGGGGTCCTCGGGACGGTAAAAATCAGTGGTTGGAAACAATTGGTGATATGGCTCAAAGTGGTCGTTGTCAATGGCTGGCGCAGATGCATCCACTCCTTGTGACTTATGATTTCCAATGAAACTGTTTTGTTCTTCGTTATTACTATTTCTTTGTCTCACACCTCTGTTTACTGTCTCTATTATGCATTTCTCTTACTTTCTTCTCTTACTTTGTGTGGTACATGGAGTGTGGCGACTTGAACTGGTGCACATCGGTGCAAAGTTCTATGTCGAAAACAGACAGTCAGACATTTAAAAAAGACTAATATTGTTAGTGACTAATAATCCAGAATATTCTATGTATATAAACATGTAGCCACTTTTGTTAAGTGTGCTGATGACCTCTCTGTTTCTATGCCTGTCAACTCTCAGTCAGATTGTGCCAAATTAAATAACTTTCTGTCGGAAATTAGTCAGTGGTCCTCTTCAAACGGTCTTAAGCTGAATCCGTCTAAATGTCAGGTAGTCAATTTCAGTTTCAGACGTAAACATGACCTACAAAAACTAGCTAGCTCACATGGCCCCACTATCATTGACGGCACAGAGGTTGAAAATACATCTAATGTCAAGTACCTTGGACTGAGTTTTTCCACCGATCTTTCCTGGTCTTCCCACATCTTGCTATTTACTAGAAAGATGCTTCGCTTAACGTTCTACATTAGGAAATTTAGGCAGTCTGGCATAAAGCAGTCTTTGCTTTCTCAGTTTGTCAATTCTTGTATTCTAGCCATCCCACTTTACTGCTCCCCATCAATCTTTCCTGGACTACTTAAGAAAGACTTTGCTTCGCTGAGAAGGGCACTAGAAGCCGTTAGTAGGGCAAGTGGGATATCGTTAAACCAACTGGTGAACACTATTGTAGATAGACACATTATGTCATGTAAGAAACTAGCGAATACAATATTGTCGAACCCGAGAATCCTCTCTATACGCAGCTGTCTCCTTGCATTTCATCTGGTGGAACTAGAAGCAGCTATAGGCGGCTATATGCCAGGACTACCAAATAGAAAAACTCCACAGTACCATATCTGGCACAGCTGTTATGCGATGAGAAATCCGTTAGGTATGACACGATAAACTTACTGCGGCCATCTAACAAATAGTCTCATGAGTTTTTGTTTTCCTTTCCTCGTTACTATTACACTGTTGTTCTCATCTTCTATCACACATCAACTTTATATTTCAAATCCTGTGGTGCATTGTTTGAAATGTAATACTCTACGTTGTTTTTTTAATTTTTATTTATTTATCTTTGATTTTAAAAATCTTATATAATTTAAGAGGTAATTAGATGCAATATCTTGTAATGCATGCTGAAAATTCCATACCTGTACCACAAATACTGTTTGGAATAAAGCTGTTATTATTATTATTATTAATTGTAGAGCCAGAATAGGAAATTATCGTAAACGATATTCTTCGCTCAATTATTTTGTGTTTTATAGTTGTGGATCAGTTTGTCGAACACTAGAAACGTTGGAATTACTTATATTTCGATTTCCCTGAGATAAATACAAATATAATTTTTAAAAATATGTCTACATTTCACTTCACGCCCAATTATAATTTGAAAACTATTCATTCGGTCAGATCTTGATCACAGTTCACATTGAAATGGTAGAAAACGAAGACTTGGTAAAGGAATGTTTATTTGGAAATTGGTATCTTTATATAGTGCCAGCGAACCGACAACGGTGACCGTCTCCTACAGTTCTGTTCAGATAATCATTTGTTTCTCGTAAGCACTAACTTTAAACACAAGGAGAGACACTGTTTGACCTGGCGACCCCCATCATCAAACCAACGCTGGACACAAATAGACCACATAGCAATAAGCTATCGTTGGCGTGGGTCGGTAGGAGATTGTCGCTCCTTCTGGAACACGTGCGTAGATACCGACCACGCACTGGTCCGGGCTCGTGTGTGCTTACGACTGAACGGACGTAGGAAACAGCTGGCGGTAAAACCATCACGTTCCCAGCTCGATCAGGAAACTAAATCCGTATTTGAGGAAGAACTAGCTAAACACATATCTGTGTTAGACAGCTCTGCTCACCCTGGAGAAGCCTGGAAGAATATTCAGTCAGCTATGGATATAGCTGTAAAAGCTGTGAATAAGGTAAACCCAAAGGTGAGTAAAAACCACTGGATCTCCACCGCCTCATCCGAACTGATAGATGCTAGTGTGGTGAGAGCAGGCTGCTAGCCGATTGGTTGGCACTAATCTACGTTAAGGTCTAGGTCACTAATATGGGCCGTGAACAAGGCTGAGTCAACAACCAATCACAGCGAAGTTAACGTGGCAAAATATGATTCGCAGATAGAGAACTCTGTTTGTCAAGGAATCCCGAAACAACCAATCAGAAGCCTGCGCTTGTCTACCTAAACAACCAATCAGATGACTGCGCTTGTCTATAATAATGTTGTCTGAAATATGTATAAATACGTGTTGATTTTCATAATAAAACGATCTGTTGCCTGGCCCTTGTCTTCTGTTGTTACACTAGAAGACTTATTCCGGCGAGCTCCGAATTCAATGAGGAGCGAAAGCTGCACAAGAGGAAACTTACGAAAAGTCTCCGCAAGAACCGTGAACAGTGGTGGCTGACAAAGGCAAAAGAGATGGAAAAAGCATCGGCGATAGGCAACACTAGGCAACTCTTTAGACTCATCAGGGAAAAGGGTGGGAGAAGGCAAATCATATATGAGACTATTTCTGAGAAAAATGGCTCCTTAATTAGCTCTCAGGATAGACGCCTTCAACGCTGGAAAGAACACTTTGAGGGACAATTTAACTTGCCTACAGCCACACTGAACCTCCCCGACATCCAGAACACACCCGAATGGGATATAGACACTGGTCTGTCTGTCTGTCTGTTTTCGACATAGAACTTTGCACAAATGTGCGGAAGTTCAAGTCGCCACATTCCGTGTAGCACGCGAAGCAAGAGAAGAAAGTACAAGAAAAGCATAATAGAAACAGTGAGCAGAGGTGTGAGACAAAGGAGTAATAAAGAAATACAAAACAGTTTCATTGAAGATCATAAGTCACAGGGAGTGGATGCATCTGCGCCACTGAGAACGATTTTGAGCCATGTCACCAATTGTTTCCAACCATAGATTTTTACCGTCCCGAGGACCCCAGCCTGGAAGTCTACACCTTCCTACGTGGCTTAGACCAACTGTTGTGGATTTCATTGACTGATGCCAAGTTTTTGTTTGACCGCCGCTAGCTTTTTTCCAGCCTGACCCTATATCCGCTAACATAGCTCGTCGAGGGAGGCGATGGCTTGGCATACGTAACACATGTCCTAACCATCTCAGTCTTTGTAGCTTCACGACTTCGTCGATTGATTTCCCCTGTTTACCTAGAACTCTACGCCTAACCTCCATGTTGCTCACCTTATTATGCCACTTTACACGGGAAATAGAACGCAGGCACCTATGATCAAAGACAGCTAGTCTTTTCATGTCTTCCACTCTCAGTGGCCAGGTCTCACAACCATAAAGGAGGACGGAGCGGACTGATGAGCAGTACACCCGCCCTTTGGTCGATAGTCGAACATCTCGTCTACGCCAGAGTCGGCGTAAACTAACAAATGCGAAACGAGCCCCTTGTATTCGTGCTGAGATTTCGTCAGAGATCAGCCCGTTGGGGCTGATGGTACTTCCCAAATAAGTGAAGCGGTCAACGTGCTCTACCACTTCACTTCCTATTTTTAAACTAGGCGTCGATGTAGTCCAGTCCTGTAACATCATCTTGC